TGTAGGTTTCACACCATAATTAGACAGCGGCCCATGCACTGTCATGTACATTGTACACGTAAATTGACCTCTTATTACCTGGGTAACTATTTCATTGACCTAACTGGTCAAATGTTGGGTAAAGTTGAACACCATCAAGTTACCATTGAAAGAATAATGAAAAAGCAGAACAGAGAGTATATGCATCATGATATTTTCATGTGCCTCGAGATTTTACTAGATCATTTTACATTCACTGTAAGATCCCGCATTATGCATGAAATTGAACTTCTAACCAATCCAAACAGAACAAACAAATGTCCTGGCATCCTAGTGCTGTCAAAGCTTTGCATGGGTTTTGAAAAATCCAAGACTATTTTGGGGTATATCAATGCTGAGTACATGTAGTATGTTGTACATATTTGATGATGTTTAATTTAGAAGAAGTCAGGGTAACTCAATGCCATATCTCAATGCCATATCTCAATTCCGTATCTCAATGCCATATCTCAATGCTATATCTCAATTCCGTATCTCAATGCCGTATCTCAATGCCGTATCTCAATGCCATATCTCAATGCCGTATCTCAATGCCGTATCTCAATGCCGTATCTCAATGCCGTATCTCAATGCCGTATCTCAATGCCGTATCTCAATGCCGTATCTCAATTCCGTATCTCAATGCCGTATCTCAATGCCGTATCTCAATGCCGTATCTCAATGCCGTATCTCAATGCCGTATCTCAATGCCATATCTCAATTCAACATTGAATTGTAAAAAAAGACATTTTTCGTGGTCTTTCATATATTACGCGACATTTTGCAGTGATCACACCAACGCGCATCAACCCAACCCTTTATTTATGAGTCTTTGATCAATACTTTTTATAAACTTCTTTCTCTTTCTATTTTATCTTTAGCAATATCACCACAAAAAGAAGAATTCTTGGATAAGATAGCATCATTCCAGAGCAGTCGGATAAATGAGCAAAGAGCTAGTCTACCAAAACTGCCAGGTCTTCGTACAAATATGTTAGAGCAATTAGTCACTAGCGAATCACAAGTGCCCGATGATAATTTCTTTGAAATGCTAATGAGATGTCAGGTAATTATATCTGTGCATGTTATACACACACTGAGATATTTTGGAGTTATTGAGAAATTACGTCAAAATTGCACGATTCAGGGATTGTATTAATTGACATGTAACAAATTCTACACTGCCCGAGTGCGTGCGTCGTTATAATCCTTGATAGCATTGTTATTATCAAGATAAGGTTAGGTTACTTCCATATCTATCTGCGTGTATCGTGATGTGCGACGATCTCACTAGAAGCAAAATCTCGCATGTGGCGAGCGTTTGAAGGCTATCCCATTA